ATAGCTTGCCTGGATCTCAGGTCACATTGTACCCACCCTACAAACTATGTTCGTTATATTATTTTGCTTCTATGTCTTATGAGAAACAATATTTTTTTGGTGTTCTCAAAAAAATCATTGCGGTCACCTTCAAATTCAAGATGGCGTCCAATATGGTTAACTGAATGGTAAATGTACACATATCTGGTTAAATACTTATGCTAGAATGTTAGTTTAAATGGCTATACAGATGTGTTATTGTCTAAATAATCAACATATTTGCATTCCAAGTTGATATCAATAGTTTTGATAGCAAGATATTCATGCTAACCAAGCATTTTAGTGAATTGTTCGTCTCGTGGACCTGACGACTTTAGTAAAATTATTATAGAAGTACCAATTAGTCTTTCTTAAACAATCAGTAGTCAAGAAAAATATACTGACAAAATCGATGGAATCGGAACATCATAAACCCCCATAAGTGAGTCAGGCCAGGTGCTTGTGAAGGGTAGGCATCTGCTGCGGGCATGTCAAACCCGCCCTGATGTTCCAGTCATGTCGGCGAGAAATGTCAAAACAAGTTTACTAGACAAACAACCACACCAAACCATGAGGATAAATAGTTGTTTTGTATATTAGATAGTGGATCTCTTTTATTGATACATGTATAATATTGTTCACTTCAAATTGACAAATATAAACCGAATTGTGTACAAATGATTTGCGCAATGAGCAGTTCATAACTATATGCTGGGCCATAATTTTCATAGTTGTTTTTGGACCCTATACATATATTTATAAACAGCTATATTTTTTTGCCAGATAGAAAATAACAATTTGCAATTGAAAGTCTGAGTGACTTTTTTTTTGAAATGTCCAATATGAAGTATACAGTGGGAAATTAAAGCTATCATTACTGGTTACAAATATTTATAATAATTGTGTGTGACACACATACACTAACATATCAAAGTAACACACACGTTTTAATATTACGATCTGAACAATAACTACTAGTATATGATAATCGGTATTCTGTACTCAGCGAAACAAGGATCTTACACATACACGTACAAACTGTCGGACGAAACTTGTCCTGTATACGTAGAGTTACCTTTCAGTAGTGTATATAAGGACATAAAATATTTGCCGAAAATAACAAAATTTTATTCAGTAAATCATTTGTTTCGCTAATTACTGATAAATATTGTTATTTTCGGCTAATGTTTTATGTCGTTATACTAGTATACACTACTGAAAAGTGAATATACAGGTCAGGTTTCGACCGATAGTTGTAAATATTGTACTTGTAAAACATTTGTTTCGCTGATTACGTATTTTTAATTATCTGTAATCAGCGAAACGAACCATTTATGTATTAAATATTGTTATTTTCGGCAAATATTTTGTAAATATTGTACGTATAAAAAACATTCCACTGATTACAGTTTAATTTTCATTATATGTTAACCCCGATTTGTTTTGTTTTTTCGATTACAATAAGCCAAAATGTGCCAATGACTCTTTAAATCTCGAAGGGCTTTTTTAAACTGTTTGTCCACTTGTTGGTGTGCATTGCAATTACGGTGACAACGCCTTCTGCTGATCAGTCCTTTGAGGGACTGTGTGCTGATTGAGTTCGATTTTCTCGTTCAGGATTTTTTATTGATATTTCTGGATATGTGCCAGTCACCCAATGTACATATGCTGTACATCTCGTAGGAACCTGTCTCATTATCAGCCTTAGTACAGTTCCTGCCAAGTCACCAAATGTGGAATTGCGATTCACTTTCAGCTGCCGAATAAGTGCCATGGTAAAAGCAAATGGATCATCAGTTATATACATAAAACGTGGTTTGCATCAAATGTGGGTGAATATCGTATAGTTTGATAAGAAACAATTCTTTTATCATCATGGAATGTTTCGTTCACAAAAACATATATTTAACCACTTTCACAAATATTCTATCACAAATGGAACCAGCTATATTAGGTTGTACAGGATTGGTCGCCATCTTGGATTTGAAGGTTACCGCAATAAATGTTTTAGAGCACACCAACAAATTATTGTATCTCATACCATAGAGGTGCAAATAAACACAGTGAACTTAGTTTGTAGGCCGGGTACAATGGGAGTGCCTAGTATGTGGGATCAGACCTTCGCTTATCATGTGATATTACAATCTTTTTCACAAAACATGCACAATGGTTTGTTCAAGAATATAAAGTAACACATCTCATTGATTTCATCTTTGCAATTGGCTAAATCCACTGTATTCACATTTGCAAAGATCACTTTGTTAACTTTTAAAAAGAATGTATGAGGATAGTGTTTTTGGCCACCAAAAGACCGCTCATCTGCTGAAACCCCACCCATGGTCAAGGTTTTGGGTGGGCTTTGTATCGGACAAATAGAGTACATTGTGTATATGTAAGTAAATATTGCTTAACTTTCAGTCGCAAATAAAATGTCCATGTGTATGTACATTTAACTCCTACTTATGTGCTGGTACATTGATACTGATCACTTTCAACTTGTCTCAATTACAGAAAAAGAACGTTCTTCTCTCTCATTAACTGATCAACTTGCGCAGAGTGTCACAAGAGCATTCAATCCCCATGCAACAGCAGCCTACTTTTCTGATCAGCGAGGAAACAAAGGAAGGGAAACAGCAAGAAATTGTGGAAGATCAAATCTAAAAACAAGCATTTAAAGGTCGTCTTTGTTGTTGACTGTAAGCTTCCTGCAAAACTGAAGCAGAATTTCATAATTGCAGATGGTCAAATTGATGTTCACCCGGATGAACGTGAAATATGTATTCGTAATAAAAAGATGTCAGTTTAAAGGCCAGCCATGCAATCTTGTAAGAGATTTTACCTTTTTGGCTTGTCCCCAAAAAACTATTTCTGAACCCGTGTATGCTGTAGATTATGAGTTGACAGGCCGCAGAATCAAAGCCCTGGTTGGTCAGGGAAGATTATATGTCAAAGTAAAGGGAATCCAGGTAATTACAAAAAGAATATGATGCATTGTGCCGTGCAGCCCCATGTCATCTTATTGTCAAGTAAACAACAAACAGTCTCAGACTGTGTTCAATCCATCCATCATGTGTCTTCAAAGATCGTTCTTTTTCCCGCAATTGAGCTTAGTTGATAAAAATATTGTTCTATGTCACAGTCTCTACAACTTTCAAAAACCTGCTTTTTCCATGATTTGACTTTAAGAGTGAAAACCTGTTAATTTATCAAGTCTACTTTCAATGATTTTAAAGACAGCATCAGTTGTTGTTCAGCAGAAAAAAATGACCTGTGCAAATCACAAGTTTCATGGTTGGTACAGTCTTCTTGATAGTAACATAAAAAAAATGCTAGGTTTTGGTGTACGATAGCTGCGCAACAATTTTTCCATTGATATGTACAGTATGTACCAAAATAATTCAACTGTCATGACAATTACGCGTCTAATTTCTGTGTAATTTATTTATAGAAAAGTAATCAATTCGAAGATTTGGGGTTTGGTAGTGATAATGATTATGAAAAGAAATCTACAAAAAAAAACCAAGTACATGTAAGTTGCAATTAGTGCAGTAATGTACAAACCGTATCACCTTGTGTAAAAAATGGATCATAGAGTGATACAACATCACATTTTTGAATGCAAAAGGAAACACTCCTCCGATACATTGTAATTTTAAGCGTCTTAGGTTAAATTATTCTTCATTTGTGAAAATATTTTGTGGGTGCAAAATAAACAGCACATCAGTGTAGCTGGAGTATTGTTTTTCCTCTGCAACAATTAGGTAAGCTCTGGGATATCTAATGTACATTCATGGTAATATTTTGTACAGAGACTCTGATACCAAATATATTGTCGATGAGATGGGGTTCGCGTCAAGCAATGCCAAACCTAAACCACAGCCAGTACCAATAGATGTCCTCCAAGTGCAACAACCAAGTACTTATCAGTCTGATCCAGAACCATGTCCATCCACCAGTACTGGAACCATTACTATGGCAAACAGTCATCATGTGCCCACTTTGGAAAGGTAAATTATTTGATAAGTAAACATAAATACACTTAATTTATTAGTCCTAATTTTTGACGCTGAATTTGTTTCATAGTTGGCTAAAAGATGACCGACTTGTAGTCATTACAGAACACTGTCAATAACAATAATACTAGTTTTAGACGTCACACCTTTAAGGGATTGACTTGATTGATAAACGCATAAAATAACAGGCAGGATATTAGCAAAATCATATAGGACCTGGTGTCCTATTTTGACACAAAATCCTATATGACTTTAAATAAGATCCAATAGAACAACTATCCAGTATGATATCATGAATATCCTATAGGACTTGATCATATTGCCAAAAACCCTATAGTATTTTGACACCAAATCTTATAGGACATTCAATAGGATCCTTTAAGACTTGGTCCTATATTATTAAAATCAAAAATCCTATAGTATTTCGACAGAAAATCCTATAGAACTCTTAATAAGACTCCGTCCTATAGAGAAATATTCTATATGATCATATTGAAAGTCATACATGATTTTTTTTTGTCAAAATATTCTGGGATTTTTACAATGGGATCCTTATAGCATTATGTTCGTTAGGATTCGTATAGGATAATTTGGTAAGGGTCTTCACCAAAATTGGTTTGTGTATCTATTTTGTAGAGAAAACATATAGTATGTGTGCTAATTAACAGATATGCATGTATTAATAGCTCTGTCATATAGCACATTTATTCATTGGCTCAACAGATCATAGGTCGCTGAGCCTATGGGATGGGTTTCTGTCCTGTGTCTGTCTTCCATCTAATATGTAGTGAATCAGAAAAAATGATATTGCAAGATAAAAACATTTTTATCATATGATCAACATGTCATGTGACAGTGTCAATTACATGTTATTCCTTACATTTATTTTATTAATTCCACCCCATTTGTTTAATTTTCTCACTTTGATACCAATACTAGAGTCATTATACCTTTAGAATTATTTCTTACCTGAATAAACATTTTCTTCGATAAACCAGGGACTTCATTAATTATTAATACATCGATTTCTTTGATATGTATCTTTGTTACCGCCATGTCATCTAGATTCTCTATTCTTTGAATCAATTCATCCGATTGAAAGCGCCCATCCATCAGCCTAAGGAACCAATGGATCGTAGTTACATTACGTAATAGTGTAGCTGCCATGCCAGTTAATGCGGTCATGACAACCTTTTTGAATAGCATTAATTTTCCGTTAATTCCTGTAATCAATTTAGTTTTGCCAGTGCCTACTTGGCCTAATATAAGAAGGTTGTGGCCCTCATTTACTGTGGTCATGATGTTTTCCTCTACAGTGGCCATGTTGTTTAAAATCAACAGTGCGTTAGGGGGTCTTTTACACGCCCAATTAGAAACAACCCAACAATAACTGACGTACAGTCATTCAGACTCGGGAAAACGTGTATTTTGTCGCTAATTTGCCGAACGGTGGTTTGAATAGATTACCACTTAACTGTATTCTGTTTGTGTGTTGTGATTGATTAGGCCAAAAAAAATGGTGTGTTTCTGGTAACGGACTAAAACAATATTGGGTAGGTAGGTAGGCAATTTTTTTATAAATTTGATTTGCAAAACGTACGTTTATAAAATAAAAAAACCAAAACAATCATTTTTTTTAACAAAATAGCCACAAGTATACAACAAACAAGTCTATTTCTTAGGCCCGTTTGGTCTGGCAACAACAGCATATTTGACATTTTTCTCAAACTCGACACACAAACACAGTCTTATTTTTTTTAGATCTATCTTTAATAGTAACAGAACAGTAAGCACATGTATCAATTGGTCCAAGTATAGGAGTTTAACATGACAGAGATTCATGTGTTGTAACCTTCATTGACGAACTGAACGGAACCCCACAAATGTTATCAACATAAAAAGGTGACCATCTATCTCGTTAACTGAAATGAATAGATATATAAATACATAAATGTAGATACAGACATACATTTCTGGTGCACAAGGAAACAAAATACTCTTGGACTCCATCCTACCCCCATTTCAGGGCTCGGCGGCCATCTCTTGGTCACCTCCCATCTATCTTGGCTTTGCAGCAGGATCTCTTTGACCCATCAAGGTCAAGACCTCGACCTACCTTGCAGGTGGGTCATGGCCTTGACCTCTGTAGTGTGACTGAAGGAGCCCCTTCCCAATTTTGTAGTTAGATTTTATATAAGTAGTTATTATATTGTGTTCTGTGCTTCTGTATTTGATTAAGACTTGTATTTTACCATTGTCGTTTTTTCTATTAAATGCAAACTGTTCCTCTTACAAGCGTGTGGCATGTTACAAAATATTTTCGCTGTGTGGATCTAATTTTCAGTGTCCATACTTGGGTTGTCTGGTTCTTGTTTTTTGTTGGATGGCATTGGAGTCATTTGTTTTATATTGTAGCTGCTTTGGGTTTTTTCAATTTGTTTCCTGTAGTCAGGGATGGACGACTATCTTCAGTCAATAAGCCTTTCACCTCCACTAACAAAT